GCTCTCTGTTTTAAACGTTTTTTTCCTCAAGTAGATTACTGTTACAATTTTGCTTTAGAACAATTGAAATTGCACACCTTGCATAAGATGAGATATCATCTTGATGCGGTCATCCTTATTCAAGTTTATCGTGGTTCTGTACTTTGCCCTTCTGCTTTGAAAATTGTTGGCCTTCGGGTCCCTGTTCTATATATCCGAGGCTTTCATATGTTCAATATCTGTTCTGTTAGTAAAAATTGCCCCTCTGCTAGATGCGCTTCTGCTGCTAATGTTGTCTGTAGAAACGTTGACATCTTTGGACCAGAAACTCTGTTGATGAAACATATCTTATACTGAACTATTGTAACTCTTACTATTATCACTATTTTTATTAATTTCGTTATTATTATTATTATTATTATTATTATTAATTAAATATTTATGTTTCTTTTTCACTTCTAAATAACACTTAGTTTTATGATAATGAAATTATTATTATTATTATTATTATTATTATTATCATTTATTTGCTTGTTTGTTTACTTTTCTTCATTATTGTGTTTTCCCAAGAAATTGCGTGTAATTTATTTTTGACTTATAATGTGTTTCTCTAATGTTTGTATAATGTTACACGTAATTACTTTCGTCTACACTGTGCTAAGTCTGCAATTGGCCTTGCGGCTGTTGACTTGGCACATAAATAATAAAGAATTGAATTTAATTTAATTATAATAGTGGTCTAAGATATTGTGTGCTAGAATGATGAATTAAAGAAAGGTGGTGTGGGCAGGTTATGTAGCATGAGTGTGAGAAATGCATAGAAAGATCCACATGTTACATCTGAAGGAAGGAGGTCACTATGGAGGAACAGCAGGCTTTCACACTGTATGCATCTGTGGTTTTTCAGAAGTTGTCTTGGGAAGTACTGAGGGTTTATGTGTGCAACCCCATTTACCCCTCCCTGAAGTTGCCTAGGAATTTCAGGCAGATACTTCTGTAGCAGTTCTTGGCAATCAGATGGTTAAAAGAGTCATCACTCACCAAGCACAAACATCACACCCAGTAAGCCGGGCTCAGTGATGATGCAATGGTGCTGAAATCTACATATGACGAGGCACACCAGTCATTTCAAACTGGAAGGGACTTTTTTCACTTACTGTCAAGAACACCACATCCTGCAAACAAGAATCATGGACAGTAAAAGTACATTGGATACATATATGAGAAGTGCATTATAATGTTATTCCTATGAAGAGAAAAGCCTGAATTGATTTTTAGCTTCAAATGATAAAGACAGTTTAATTAATATGAACATTAAAAAGAGTGTTACTTTGAACCTTTCATTAACTTTTAATAGTGCTACTGTCGATAGAAAGACAGCAAAGAAACTTACTACATATAATATGCTTGAGGATGGCGGCAGAAGGCCAAAACATACTGGAGAAGGGCTGCTGTCCTGCTGAACCTGAGAGCCTACATTGAGAGGCTGATGCCTCCTCTCCTTAAAGAGGAGTCTCCATTATGTAGCGGTGATAAGGGGTGCACATATGTAAAGACTGCAAAGGGAAGTTATGTGGAAAATTAATCACCTACTTCTTTTCACCATATTTTGAGTGTTTGAGATGACCTGGACCCTGTGGGAAAGACTGCATCCAACAGCATTGGAATGCAGTGTGACTTGAGGCCCGATAGCTGGAATAGTGGAGTCATAAAGAGACGGATGTTGGTAGGCAATGGCTTGGTGGACAGGTTATATGCACCCCACGTAGAAAACACTGTGCCTAGCAGTTCTTCTCTTGTTATATTGTATTCTTTTCTCCGGGAATGTGTTTACTGTGCTTTTGTGTACATTCCTTGTTTTGGGATCACCTTGCTGTCTGTATGTTGTCTATGTGTTTGTAAGTTTGTGCATCACTCCTTAACCCCAGATAGCCAGAACAGTGGAGGTGGAAGAAACAGCTGATACAATACAGCTTAAATGTACGTGACGTGATGCCTGTAAGTCAGTATAGTGCAGTGAGACAAGCACCTTGGTGATGGCCAATCTTAGGGATCCACTCGGCAATTAGGTGTTCAAACTCCTCATTTTGTGTATGCTACAACTGTGTTCTAACCATCGTCCTGAACAGGAGTTGTCCTCTTCCGGACTGTAGAGAAAACATTGCCTCCAATAGTTCATCTGTTGTTAGCCTACTTTCCTTGTGTGTCTGTGTGTATATCGTCCCTATAATTGCTAGGCAACGGCTCTGTTGCTAGGTTAAAGTGACATTGGTAAACACGTTCCTGTCTCAGTGAACTCGCGTGCAAGAATAGAATAGTTATTGGATGTGTTGCTTTTTATGTGGTTCATGTGATATCAGAGAAAAATGGGTGATTAGGTCTTTCCAGAATTTCTTGCGTGGGATGTGAATGTGTAGTCATGACAGATATATAGCATTATTTGTTTTCCAGAACCTTGCATATTCAGAGGAAGTACAAAGTCTGTAGTGAGATACATTCAGCATCTTCTCATGATGCATGTCAGGCCAACAGTGTAAAAGCTGAGGAAGTGTCAGACGCAGAAAAAAGAGGAGTATCCTGTGCCAATAACATTTCAAAGAATAAAGGCTGAACGTGAGGTGAGCTGTGGCTGTGATGGCATGTGGATCTGTTGCAAGGCTACAACTGCAAAATAAGGAACTATACAGCAGCCATTGCTAAGTAACAGCTCTGCAAACAAGCATGTTTCCTCAGGAGGAGTTGCAATGCAACAGAGAAACAGTGTTTAATTCTTGTTAAATTTAAATTTGCATAGTGTAGGGTGGAGTCCAACTGGGTCCACTTGGCACAGCGGCCACTGATTGGCCTATTGTAGCCTTCCTCAGGTGATTATGTTGATGGAGAATTTGGTGGAATGAAGATTGGCAGGGGAAACCAAAGTACTTGGAGAAAACCCGCCCCAGCGCCACTTTGTCCACCACAAATCCCACTTGACCATACTCGGGATCGAACCCAGGCTGCCGCAGTGGGAAGCACGTGACTAACCGCTAGAGCTATGGCGTGGCCTGAGGAACAGCATTTCCCATGTGGTCCATGCCGAGATGTTATAAACAAGGTTAGTTAACTGTTGGAGTTAACCTTACCTCCACCATAGCCCTGTGAATCATGAGAGGTGATGAAAAGAGAACCCAATGTCTGGGGGTATAACTAGGCCACCCTGTTCATGGGTGATATAAATATGGAGACATGGCCTACCATGTTTAGGGAGTCTTGAACCTGAGACATTAAAATATTGTCATAAGTCCTTCAGGACTCGGACTTGAGAATGACTGCCCTGGCAAGGGCCAGCAGCAATTGTAAATGACAGAGCAATCCTGTTATCAGAGAGGATGTTATATAAGGGCTATAACTGCAAGTGCTCAGTTCGAAAAAGGAAATACTGCTCATGTGTCTCAAGGGACTTGGTGCCAAGACTAAGTAATTGGTGGTAAACTGCCAGCCTTAAAGTGACTCTGATTCTGACCTTTACTCTGACTGTGTTGGAGTTAGTTAGTTGGTGAGTTAATGAGTGATTTAGAGGACTGTTGTAGTTCAGACATTGTTTGCTATTTCTGGTAGAACCTGGTAGCTGAGTCCAAGGAGAGTTCAGGAGCCCAGAGGAAAGGGTATGTCTGCTTTTGGAAGCTGCTACCAATGGCTAGTGACGAAGTGACTGTGGACACTAGTATGTCTGTAATAGTGAACTGTAAAATGTAGACATGTATTGTACCAAAGAGTCGAATCCAGCCATTGATTTGAAACCCATCTATAGATACACTCCATAAAAGTGTGACAATATGAAGATATGTTCAGCCATGATAATGAAACTGCTTTGTTTTGTTGCATCGGCCATGTGAGAATAATTGTTTTTAAAACCAAATGTTTTATTTCCCAATAAATATCCTAAACAGATACTACTGTTTTTATTTTAATGCTTATTTTCGACTAAAACATAGCAGTAAAAATGGTGAGGGTCCTCTCTAGAACTCACACTTTGAAGAGTTTTTATAGGGTGAATTGCCTGTGTGGAATGAGGGATACCTGTTTTTCTTTCCTATCTCATCTGTTGTCTGCACACAGGAAATAACTCGACTGTGATCACTGGATTTTGAAGAGCATTTTCTGAAATGTCTCAGGATGATTGCTGTATGTTGAATGTTACTAGTGGTGTACTGTTTCTGTTTTCTCTAAGGAAATCTAATATACTTGAAATTCAGTACAGTAAAACCTGCCTTAAACGGACCCTTTATTAACCTTAAAGAGACGGCCCTTTAAATTCCGGTAATGGCTGCGGGACTGATTTAATTTAAATGCCCTCGATTATAAAGCAATAGAAATTGTAATAATTTACTAAAATTGCTGTGATTTCTACAATTTTTATGATAAACGAACCAAATAAATGCTCCTTGTTTCTAGAAAGAATATAGAATCCGATATTGTAATTTACAGACTTTATAAAATATGTAAATATTTTTAGACTGATTCCAACTGAAATATGCCCCAATTTGTCGTCTGTCTACAAGAATTCATACAGTTGTTGCAAGTATGAATGCGGCTGATGTGGCAACACAGCGAAATCTTAGCTACCCCTGATTTAGGCTAGCCTGTATCAATGTTTATTCACGTACGTTCTTTCGGTATGCAGAGATGTGGGCCCATATCCGTTTATAAGAATCCTGATTGTTTATATTATCGCTTATAGATACACAACGAGTGTTCTGTTCTGACCTGGTAGGCTACTGTATAAGAACTCAAGGTTAGCGTCTGTATAACAGCCCACCGCATCAGAACACTCAAGGTTAGCATTGAAGTTGTAAAGTAACCAACCATTGCGTGTTCTCGTTTGGAAGACTGGGACATATTTCAGCTCATAAATGACTCCGAATCAGATTGTTGTAAAGACAATTCTGAGAGTGGCGTTGAGGAAAGTGAATCAGAAATTGATTTCAATGAAGAACCATCATCTTGGTCTGCAACCTGGGGACCACCACACCAGCATGGCAAGAGGAGTGTGAATAATTATTCAGGTGGAGCTGTGGGCAAACTGTGGCAAACAGTTATAGCATGTGTCATCGAACCTGGAAATGGACAAATAAACTATTTTTCCATCTCCTGGATCTGAACAGTTATGTCCTGTTGTCACACAGAGAATTTTGTCTCGCTCTTGTGTGGAACATGCTGGAAGGGGTCCGTCTCGACCTCAACGGACCAGGGGTCGAACCCCTGCCGCTTCATTGGAGATATCTCGATTAGAGGAGGGCAAACCACATCACTGGCCGACTTTCTCTACTTCGAAATTGAGGTGTCAAGTGTGCTCTTAGCGTGGGAAACGAAGAACCGTCCGGACAAAGTGCGTGAAGTGTGACGTCGGACTCTGCATTTCCGGATGATTCCAAGAATTCCACACGAAGGCAACATTCCGTTAGATGACGCAGGTGGGAAGACAGACAACTTATAAAGCTGGTGTCCAAAAATCATGTAAGTAGAACAAGAATTTATAACTTAAAATTAGATTTTAAAAAGCCGGC